GGATTGAAGGTGATTGGTGTGTCTGTCACGGGGTCAGAGCTCTACCAGAAGTCAGGTCGTGGCACTACCAGCTTCCTCCTGGCTGGACTGCCACTGACCAGATTTTTCAAATTCCCTTCCAGAAACTTCACTTCCAAAAGTCCCAACAAAGTCACTTCCAAAAACCCCATCAAATGCCTCCAGATTCATGTGGCAGAGGGACCTTGTTCTCTGAGCTTCCACAGCCTCTGTTCCTACTTGTCTCCTAGCACTGGGGGCCTATCCTGGAGCCAGAACTCTTCCTTCACTGGACTTAATTATTAGTAGTATTTATTAAATATCCATAATGTATATCTTGTTTATACTCTAAGGCCTTCATCAGGGCAAATACTGGGATTGCTTCACTTCTGTTATCTCTACCATCTGTCCCAGGGCCTGGCACATAGCAGGAGCTCAACCAATCAATCAATCAATCACTCCCTGTTTTCAAAGGGATAAACTGTCTGGACAAGAGTCTCAACAGTGTGAGGATGGCATTCACAGCAAATAAAACAAAACAAAAATTTTGCTAATTAATAGTGATGAAGAATAAAATTCTGTGCAGGAGATACTACGGGAAAACAGGAACTTTCATACATTGCCAATAAGGACACAAATAGTATAACCCTTTCCAAAGCCGATATTGCAGTACCTACTGGCAGACTCACAAGCATCAGTCATGTAAGGAGAGGATCAAGACAGTAAGGCACTCTGGGGAAATCTCTGCCCTGGGAAAGAAGACCCAGGTTCCTCCCAAGCTACCCGGACCAACTATGGAATTGTGGGCAAGTCCCTTTATGTCTCGGAACTTCAGCTTCTTTGTCTACACAGTGATAGAATCAAGGTAAGTGATCCCTGGGACTCTGTTCGGCTGGGATGTCTATATCAAACACAGAGCAGTAGGAAAGGCCATCAGAGCTCTTCAGAATCTTAGATATTAGTTTAGGGCTCACTCAAGTGAATATAAAGGCCCCCAAGTTTCTACTGTTTCTAAGAATCTTCACTTTGGAAGATCTACTCCTCAGATACTCTTCTGGAGAAACAGGAATTGGGGCTTTGGACCTCCTTCTCTTGGCTTACCACCTTGCCCCATGGTTCAAAGGATAAACAAATCTTGACTCATCCACCAAGGAAGCACCAAATATCACCTGGCTTCACTAAATGACCAGAGGCAAGGTGAGTCCCCACCACTGCAAAGGCCTGAGAACAGTACCTTTAATTCTTGCATTTCTTTCTGCCTATAGGGTTGCTAGAAAGGGTACAAAACCCTGCTAACACTATGTTGGGAGACCTGTCTAAAAAGTACCCAAATAGTGGAGAATCACATCTAATCTAACTGAAGTCAACCAAGTCACGAGTTCCTTAAAAGTCCCTCCCAAAGTAAAATCAATAAATGCATAATAACTAAAGATGTATATAGCATATCCTGAGGCTTTTCATGGCAAGTGCACTTTATAGTATTGTCATTGGTCAGGTGTTACAACAGGTTACAAGTCATTATGACCACAGAGGATGCAACAGGTACAAAAACTGTGCAATCTTCCATTCTATAAATACTAGGTTCTCACAATAATCTATACTAAGGCAGCCTCATTTGCAAATAAGATCAGGTTTGGCACCCTTTCCTTGACCACAGTTGCCTTAGCTTACCAGTTATGTAAGCATCGCTCTGAACAAGTGCTCACCCCGGAGGCTCACCCTGGACTTTGAGGGATAGCAGACCCCTTTCCTGAGTCCTTCTTAATCTGAATGTCCATGACTGTATTCAGCAGAATATAGTCCCATGGGATGTTAATAGGTAGTGTGTTATGTAAGCAGGCACACACACAAACTGGTTCCCTATTTAGAAAGATTGATAAATGTATGTCTTCAATGCAGAACTTGAAAGCTTTTATTCTGTCAATAAATCTGTGAATCTTCTGGAGGAGCCTATGGTGTGCTAAATTCTCTGACCTTCTTTATTTTTTTGAAAAGCATCATATCCCAGGCATACTGTTCAACAGTCTATCCTTTTAGAATCTTCACGAAGCCCTTGACCTATGACCTCTGTTCTAGAAACCACATTGCACAATATGACCCCTCTCTCATTTAGCCTCCATCACAATAAGAGCATACCTAATGATTATAAAAGTGTTGGATACTTGATGTTAAGCACCCAGTGCTTTTAAACCCATTCAGATATTTGTTGGAAATGAACCAAAGAAGTACCTACAGTGTAGTGACCAATATATAGCTACATGGCAGCAGGGCTTGGAGAACTCCTGCATAGAATCAGTAGCACTGAAACTCTTCAATTTTAAACAATAACAACCTTGCCGCTCCCAGCCCAGCCCCAGACTAGTGCTGCCCAGAGTAAGTTAGGGCCCATTCAATAAACATGCGTGGAGCTTTGAAGATCTCAGAACATGAAGGAGGTCCCAGCATCCCTTATCCTTCCACCTTTTATTAGGGCCCCTTATCAGGTTGGGGTTCAGCTAATGCAGTTGCTTGGCTCTGCACACAGTCTGCCCTCTCACCTTCATCCCTGCTCTACTTCCCCCTAATGATCAAGGCCAGCATAACACAGAGCTGCTGAAGAATAAAATCCATCCTTCAATTCCCTCCAACTCCAAACATTTTCCCTGACTCATCTCAGGCTGTGTGAGATCGTGACTTCTGGAATTGAATTTAAAATTTAAGACAGAGGGCGCCTGGGTGGCTCAGTCCATTAAGCATCCGCCGTCAACTCGGGTCATGGTCCCAGAGTCCTGGGATCAAGCCCCACAAAGTCCTGGGATTGAGCCCCAAGTCAGGCTCCTTGCTCAGCGGGGAGCCTGCTTCTCCCTCTCCCTTCACTGCTCCCCCTGCTGTGCTCTCTCTCTCTATCTCAAGTAAATAGATAAAGTCCTAAAAAAAGAATTTAAGACAGAAGAGTGCCTTTATGCATAGGCAGAGGGCTAAACAAAGTTCTGAAACTTCTGGGACCCTGGCAAACCTCTTCTATCCCAGTAACTTAATGTGAGCATATGAGTTCAAATAACTTTTGGTGCCTGAGTTTTCCCCACTTGTGCAATCAGAGAGGTACTGTTTTAATTTTTTTATAAGAATGTATCCATGAATTATTTGTGAACTCAAAAATGAACAAAATAAGAGGGGCAACATTAACCTAAATTATGCTATAAAATGATGGTCTAACTCTTAATGAATATGAAATCAAAGAAAAGTACTTATTATCAAGCTGAGGTAATAATAGCATTCAAAGACTACAACAGGATGCCGCTAAGTAAAAGCTGTCTCTGAAGAAAAGGCACAGAATTTCTCCTTTTTTTTTTCAAGGCAGCATTTGTCCTTATAGACTGAAATATGAGGGGATAAAAAGGAATACTGATGAGGGAAACGCAGTTTTCCTACAGCTCTAAGGTTTTTACACAAACAGTGTCTCTTTTTACAGGGTTACAGTCCCACCTACTTTACCTTCTAGCCCTTTGTTTCCCACATGTAACCTGGAGGAGGCTGGACAAATAAAGACTAGAGCTCTTTTAATTTCTAACACATGAAGGTCTTGCAGCTAAACAGAAGTTACAATGTGAACAGATTTAAGGGCCATGTTCATACATGGCAATGTGTTCCATTAAATGAAACATAAAGTAGTAAGGCAGGCCTGGAGGGTGAGGGTGGGAAGGACATCTATGTAATTTATTAAAATAAAGGAAGCCTCAAGCCTCATCTTGTGATTTAAAGAGGAAGTCAATCACGACCAGTTTGCATTTAACTTATTATCTTGGCCATAGCTTGGCTATATTTTAAATATAAACTATTGTTGATGGATGAAGAAACGGAGTAGCCATTTTCAAAGGAACTGTTAATCTCCAAAAAAATGATGTGCTGTTGTTATTGTTTCCAACAAAATCATGTTGTAACACAAATTATAACACCTTAAAAAAAAAAAAAAAAAAGCCGAAACAACAGAAGGAAGTATGAGTTCACCAATCTGGAGAAGTGAACTGAGGTTTCTTCACCACCCATGGTTCTCTGGTACTATAACATTTAATGGAATCACTTATTATTCCATGTCCTCATTTCTTTTACACTATCTGAAAGCCGGCAGCTCTAATGGCTAAGGAAAATAGATAAATTTAAAATAAAAAGTATACTACCTGCTCTTGCATAATATGAATTTAAATGAAAACAGCTTGAACTAGGATTATTTCTTCCAGAACGAGTCACCCCTCCCCTTCCAATACCCCACCCTAAAACAGAAGAACACATAGGCATCACAACCACACATGTATTTTTTTTTTCTTAAAAAAGGTCACTTGGGCTCTGTCGAGGCTAATAAACAGAAATAGATTTTACTCCTGGCCAACAGCTCAAACCATCCATTAGCATAAAATTTAAGATGCGAAGATGTTTTTGGAATTAGTGTACAGGCAGACACACCCTGTTTACTCGAAAACCTAAACCTTAACAATAGCTTCTACACAGATAAGTCTCTGTATCAGAAGCCCTGGAAATCTCCAGTGACAATTTATCTTCCATGGTCTTTTGTCTTTAAATGTAAATGGTAGATAACTGAGCTTAAATGGAAAAAAAAAAAAATTAAGAAATGAGCATCCTGAATTCTTTTGGATTCTAAAACCAGGGATAATATTGAAGGGAATGCAAATGAGTTTTAAATGTCCTTAAAATCTAGAAGTAAATGTAGCAACAGCTAATTCTTTGGCATTGAGTCAAGAAAGCCAAGGAAGCTGAGCTAGCAATGTAGCAGGGAAAATAATCAGAGAAAGAATACACTCTTCCGCCATGCCACAGACTGGGCATAACACACAAATATGGCCTCGAAACAAAATTAATATGGCTACAGGTGCACAACATTAATAGGGGCACACTGGGGTCAGAGAGAATGTGGCTGCCTTCATTAATGTCCTATGCACTCATACATACAAATATATACATATGTACATATATACAAATAAAGACCCATGCACGTAGCTTTCCCTTACCTCCAACAGAGGCCTGGCACTATCGTGGACAGACAGAATGTGTGTCACCTTGTTCTTGCTCAATTGCTCTGCATCTCTGGCATCTGTCATAGAAGAAAGAAGATGACGATTTTATTCTTCTCTGCAAGTGAATTATTTGTAAAGTTTAGCCAGGAAAAAATACAAAATGCCTTGCATATTTCTTTCTTGAAACTTCCATAATTCACCATACCCAGAATAAATCTAGACCTAGGGAATTTAGGACTATTGCTTTAATGTATTTTGTAGATGACTAAATTTATTTCTGATTGTCAGATTTTTTTGATACAAAGTGGTCACCTAAAATTTGAAATGTATTTATATTAATAAACATTGTAATCACGATTGTTGCTGTTTAAAGAACGTGAACCTATAGGGTCATTTTGTAGTTGCTGTTTGTTATTAATGATTAATAATCTAAGTTAAAATCACATACAAAAGACCCACTTACTATGTACCCTGATGTCAAAGGCAGGGATGGTTTAAACGCAGATTAGACTGTGGTTTATAACATCTACAATTCACTTCAGGGCAAAAGTAAAAATGGAACATTTTCTGGAAATCCCAAACAGAGTAAGTTATCAGTTAGCTAATTATCTGCATATGAAACTAAGGAGACACCAAAATTTACACTCCCTTCTAATGCTCCTACCTAATGCTGCATAAGAAAGACTGAATAAATATCCTCAAGTTGAAACCCTTCTGCTAATCTACAAAACAGGGGTCCAGCAAGAAAAGGCTCCCCACATGACCATGTCCTGAGCTGGGACAAGCTTTTTAAATGATACAGGGTAAAATGGACTGACTCAAATATTTACTTATCATGTTTCTAGAGAATATTAATGACATGGGAAAATGCTTAGGATATAATGTTAAGCAGGGTGTAAAAGCAGTTATCAAACTATAAATACAATGTGAACTCAATTTATAAAAACATAATAAAGACAAACACACATACAGAGGGAAAACTACTATAGGGAATTAGCTCTAACAGTGACAATCTTGAAAAGATGGAATTACAAGTGTTTCAAAACTTTTTAAACAGTTTTTTTGGTATAGTCAACACAAGAGGCTCTGAAAGTTTAACATGCCTATGAACTAAGTTGGGGCTTCAACTTAGTTCAAGGTCTATGACAAGGCTGAGGAATCTGCAGGTTCTTTTTTTCTTAAGATTTGTTTGTTTGTCTGTTTGTTTATTGGGGGGGTGCAGAGAAAGAGAAGCAGACTCTCTGCTTAGCACAGAGCCTAATGATGCTGGGCTAGATCTCATGACCCTAAGAGGAATCGGCAATTTTAAGAAGCCCTGATGATCATGCAGAGACTGAAAAATTTTCCTAAACGGTCTGCAATAAACATGTACCACTTTAAAGTCAAAAAAAAAAAAAGTCTTTAAAAGTAATATTAAAATGTTGGTTTTAAGACCTTCTTCGTTGCTCCAACCATCTCAAGCTTCAAATTCAGATGTGCATAACAGCCATCTACGTCACACATATAGGACTCAATTCCAAACACACCCATCTGCCCCACAACTATCACAAGTTTTGGCATCACTAAGTTTGAATTGAACAGGAACTGGAATCATTTAGGATCCCACTGGCAGCCAGCTTCCACATTCTCACCAAAAGGCAATTTTCCCAATCGCCACCAGCATGTATATTTTAGCCCCAGTGGAGAAGCAACATCAAGCTGGGCGCACAGAAGAGCACGGACGAGGCGGGGCAGCAAACGGTGGAAGGAGGAGGAGCAGCTGGTGGAGTGCTCCAAAGCAGCCTCCTGACACTCTAGGGCAGAATCTTCTGAATTCTGGTCCTGCCCAAGATTTGAATTTTAAAGATTTGTTTAAATAGGGATGCCTTGGTGGCTCACTCGGTTAAGCATCTGCCTTCGGCTCAGGTATTGATCCCAGAGTCCTGGGATCGAGCCCCAGGTCAGGCTCCCTGCTGCACGGGGAGCCTGCTTCTCCCTCTGTCTGCCCCTCCCCTTGCTTGAGTGAACTCTCTCTCTCTGACAAATAAATAAATAAAATCTTTTAAAAAAAAAAGAGGTTTGTTTAAATATACTTTTTCTTCTGTCATTGAAAATAGAAGGAAAGATAAAAAGCTTCCAGGACAAACAAAAACTAAAGGAATTTGCAAACACAAAACCAGCCCTACAAGAAATATTGAAAGGGGTCCTCTAAGCAAAGAAAGACCCTAAAAGCAACATAGACCAGAAAGGAACACAGACAATATACAGTAACAGTCACCTTACAAGCAATACAATGGCACTAAATTCCTAACTTTCAATAGTTGCCCTGAATGTAAATGGGCTAAATGCCCCAATCAAAAGACACAGGCTATCAGATTGGATTAAAAAACAAGACCCATCAAAATGCTGTCTGCAAGAGACTCATTTTAGACCCAAAGACACCCCTAGATTGAAAGTGAGGGGGTGGAAAACCATTTACCATGCTAATGGACACCAAAAGAAAGCTGGGGTGGCAATCCTTATATCAGACAAATTAGATTTTAAACCAAAGACTGTAATAAGAGATGAGGAAGGACACTATATCCTACTTAAAGGGTCTATCCAACAAGAAGATCTAACAATTATAAATATCTATGCCCCTAACATGGGAGCAGCCAATTATATAAGCCAATTAATAACAAAAGCAAAGAAACACATCAACAACAATACAATAATACTGGGGGACTTTAACATCCCCCTCACTGAAATGGACAGATCGTCTAAGCAAAAGATCAACAAGGAAATAAAGACTTTAAATGACACACTGGACCAAATGGACTTGACAGTTATATTCAGAACATTCCATCCCAAAGCAACGGAATACAAATTCTTCTCTAGTACCCATGGAACATTCTCCAGAATCGATCACATCCTAGGTCATAAATCAGGTCTCAACCAGTACCAAAAGATTGGGATCATTCCCTGCCTATTTTCAGACCACAATGCTTTGAAAATAGACCTCAATCACAAGAGGAAAGTCGAAAAGAACTCAAATACTTGGAGGCTAAAGAGCATCCTACTAAAGAATGAATGGGTCAACCAGGAAATTAAAGAAGAATTTAAAAAATTCATGGAAACAAATCAAAATGAAAACACAACTGTTCAAAATCTTTGGGATGCAACAAAGGCAGTCCTAAGAGGAAAGTATTTAGCAATACAGCCTTTTTCAAGAAACAAGAAAGGTCTCAAGTACACAACCTAACCCTACACCTAAAGGAGCTGGAGAAAGAACAGCAAATAAAGCCTAAACCCAGCAGGAGAAGAGAAATAATAAAGATCAGAGCAGAAATCAATGAAGTAGAAACTAACAGAACAGTAGAACAGATCAATGAAACTAGGAGCTGGTTCTTTGAAAGAATTAACAAGATTGATAAACCCCTGGCCAGACTTATCAAAAAGAAAAGAGAAATGACCCAAATCAACAAAGTCATGAATGAAAGAGGAGAGATCACAACCAACACCAAAGAAATACAAACAATTATAAAAACATATTATGAGCAACTCTATGCCAGCAAATTAGATAACCTGGAAGACATGGATGCATTCCTAGAGATGTTTCAACTACCAAAACTGAACCAGGAAGAAATAGAAAAGGTGAACAGACCTATAACCACTAAGGAAATTGAAGCAGTCATCAAAAATCTCCCAAAAAACAAAAGCCCAGGGCCAGATGGCTTCCCAGGGGAATTCTACCAAACATTCCAAGAAGAATTAATACCTATTCTTCTGAAACTCTTCCAAAAAAATAGAAATGGAAGGAAAACTTCCAAACTCATTTTATGAGGCCAGCATTACCTTGATCCCAAAACCAGACAAAGACCCCATCAAAAAGGAGAATTACAGACCAATATCCCTGATGAACATGGATGCAAAAATTCTCACCAAAATACTAGCCAAAAGGATCCAACAGTACATTAAAAGGATTATTCACCATGACCAAGTGGGATTTATCCCTGGGCTGAAAGGTTGGTTCAACATCCGCAAATCAATCAACGTGATACAATACATTAACAAAAGAAAGAACAAGAATCATATGATCCTCTCAATAGATGCAGAAAAAGCTTTTGACAAAGTACAGCATCCTTTCTTGATCAAAACTCTTCAAAGTATAGGGATAGAGGGTACAAACCTCAATATCATAAAAGCCATCTATGAAAAACCTACAGCAAATATCATTCTCAATGGGGAAAAACTGAGAGCTTTCCCCCTAAGGTCAGGAACGTGGCAGGGATGTCCACTATCACCACTGCTATTCAACATAGTATTGGAAGTCCTAGCCACAGCAATCAGACAACAAAAAGAAATCAAAGGCATCCAAATCAGCAAAGAAGAAGTCAAACTCTCACTCTTTGCAGATGATATGATACTTTATGTGGAAAACCCAAAAGACTCCACCCCAAAACTGACAGAACTCATACAGGAATTCAGTAAAGTGGCAGGATATAAAATCAATGCACAGAAATCAGTGGCATTCCTATACACCAACAGCAAGACAGAAGAAAGAGAAATTAAGGAGTCGATCCCATTTACAATTGCACCCAAAACCATAAGATACCTAGGCATAAATCTAACCAAAGAGGCAAAGGATCTGTACTCAGAAAACTATAAAATACTCATGAAAGAAATTGAGGAAGACACAAAGAAATGGAAAAACGTTCCATGCTCATGGATTGGAAGAACAAATATTGTGAAGATGCCAATGCTACCTAGAGCAATCTACACATTCAATGCAATCCCCATCAAAATACCATCCACTTTTTTCAAAGAAATGGAACAAATCATTCTAAAATTTGTATGGAACCAGAAAAGACCCCGCATAGCCAGAGGAATGTTGAAAAAGAAAAGCAAAGCTGGCGGCATCCCAATTTCGGACTTCCAGCTCTATTACAAAGCTGTCATCATCAAGACAGCATGGTACTGGCACAAAAATAGACACATAGATCAATGGAACAGAATAGAGAGCCCAGAAATGGACCCTCAACTCTATGGTCAACTGATCTTCGACAAAGCAGGAAAGAATGTCCAATGGAACAAAGACAGTCTCTTCAATAAATGGTGT